ATGATCTGCAAAATTTGTGGTTCAGGTTCAGGTTCAGATTCATTAAACCTGAACCTGAACTGAACTGAACTTCAGAACACTAACTCCATGCATATTATGGTATATTATAATACTCCTATCATCATCGAAACCACAACCTTGTCTTGATTTTTTTCTTGTATTCGTATATGCCAGTATCCCTTGAACATATCTATGCTTGAATACTATTCGTATCCAGCTACTTTCTCCAATATACAGTCTTTCTCCTCTATAATTACGCAGTTTGTATTAAGAAAATTGGTGTATTCCAATTTAGTCTTGTAATATTTAATATGTATCACGTGATTTTTAATTTAAAATCGATTACTGGATTAGCGTTAGTACGTAATCAATTTAAAACTACATACATTAAATTACTTTAACGCATCTCTATTTGAGGTTTGGTGCTACTTGTTTATGCATTATTCTTAAAGATTTAAGTTTCCTGCATCGTACCCGTAACGTATAGTACGTACGTATAAAAAATACAAAAGAATAATTTTCATAATTTAAACAATAATGACGGAGTCTAATAAAAATTCTTCACAATGGAACTGGAAGAAAACATACGATGATTTGTTAGAAATTTTTAAAGTACCACCGTTGAAACCAGAATTACCGCTGACGGATTTAGAGGTATTTATTATGAATGCTCGTACTGTATTACATTATTAAAGGTTTACAATAAATCTATTTAAAATTGAGATAAGAATACATAAAAGCTTATTTAATTTTATGGCGTTTATAATATATTTTCATCTGTATATTGCTTACATGATAAGTAATTAAATATTTTCCGTTTAAATTTTCAAAAATTAAGATCTTTAAATGTGATTTAGTTGTCGACCTTAACGAACTTTTTGACAAACCTAATGCTCGAATCTTCAGAGTCTATGGTGACGTAATTCAGCTATCAAATACTTTGGAAATTCCACATTTGGATGGTAGTGGTATTATTTTGATCGCAGCAAGACGAGTTGAAATTAATCCAGGATGTCAAATAATTGTTAATTACAAGAAATTCTTTCGAATAGTAATATACACTGAAGAAATGACTTCTGAACTTGAAATTATCGCAAAAAATCAACTAAAAAATGATGATTCATCAAAATTTGTTATTAACAAATTAAAAGATGATAAATGCGTTGGTAAATTACTTACTATACGCGATGGCAAGAGCCCTGAATATAAAGACATACATGTATTTGATAATAGTATCCTTAAAAATCATTCATTCCTTAAAATAGTACGATACTCTTTACTCATCGCAAGTGTCTTATTTTATGATAACCCTGAAATTACACGATCAATCCTCTATTGGATAAGTAAAATTACCAAATCACAATCGGAAAAAAAAGAACAATCTAAAATAAAAGAATTATACTATCAAGCGCTTTCAACGCTTGTACATTAGATATTTTTGAAGAAAGGAGGAATAATGAAATTTCATTTGTTCCATTATTGGATAAACAATTCTACAGAAATGGGATCAATGAATTTATGGAAACTGTAAAATTTTATGAACATAAATATAAGCAATTTCTAGATAAAAGTGATAAAATTGATCAAATGAAATTAGAATCTGAATTTTCATTAGAAAATATTAATGATGAAACCGAATTGCATGATCATTTAAAAAAGAATGAATATGAACGTTATGATTCAGCATATAAATTGGTGAAAAAGATAAAAGACGAGTTAAAGGTATGTTGAATTGTATTTTATGAAAATCAGAACATGACCGAACTATAAAGTGTTTATACCAGGTAACGATTACTGAAATAGAGATATAATTACTGTTTTACGCGTGGTTGTGTCCTGATAAAAATAGAGTTTTAAATAAAAAGAATTAATAAATTATCCACGTTCTTTTGATAATAGGAGAAACAAAATGTCGTAAACAACGCATGTGAACATTTTAAAGAAGAAATTGAAAAATGGAAGGATCAAAAGATCTATGAGGAACAAATGAACGTGCTAATTGCAGTTTTTAACTTAGCTATACGTATTGGTACAATTGTTATCAGACCTGATGGCATAGTTAACATTATTGAATCTATAGAGAAGACATCTATTTCGGTTCAAGATGCTCTGAATGCTGGTGATAAAGTAAAAGCATTCATTGACGAAAACAAGGACTTAAAAGACAACTTAAATGATATAAAGGATAAAATTGAAACAATTCAAAAAATTGAAGAAGATTTGAAAAATAATTGCAACAAGGCTAAAGATCTGAATAATAGTGTGATAACAGAGCAAAAAAGAATCGAATCTTTGGATGTTGATGAACTTGCA